AGTGATTTACTGAACATGAATTCTATGAGAAAACATATTCGCCTTCACTTTCCAACTTAAAAGTATTATGTTTTGTTCTAGAAGTTTAGGAAATTTCAAATAATTCCACTTTTTAGTAATGATGGATAGTGGCTAGTAGTAAAAATCTAGGATGCGTATTTCGTCCTATTTGAGCCTCGTCACTAGCCACTATCCATCATTACTACAATTAGAACTCATGTAACATCGAGGCATCCACACAGGAGCCTATATGTCGATAAAGACCGATCAATTAGGTCCAATCAACGACGGTATAATACAAACAATTATACTAATTCCACTCCTTTGTTATACTGGATCAAATTGTTCAACCTCTACTAGCCTATGGGCTCCTATGAAGATGCTTCTATGTTGCCTGAATATGTATTACGATGATTTACTTGATTGTGACTAGTAGAAGAATCCTATTTAGGACTCGTCAACTGGATGTACTTGCACCTCAAAACGCACCTCCTGGATTCTTCTGCTAATCACAACCAAGTAAATTACTATGATAAATCCCACCTTTATTTATTGAAACTTCTAATTCCCCTTTGGTATACTGCATTGGATTGTTCGATTCCTGTTGGCAGATAAACTGCTACACAGATACCTCTATATTTCTCGGATATTCATTAACTGTAGTCTACTTAGTGGTGGTCAACAGTGCGATCTACGACTCACTTTTCTTCCTATTTGGGACTTGTCAGTTGGATGTACCTGCAACCCAGTGGTTGATGTTGTTCGTATTGAGACCCGAACCTCTTAAAAGACAAAGGATTATCCACTAGGCCAATGGGGCCATAGGGGGCGCCACAGGAAGAAATGCCAATGGAGGTCGAACGATTCGAACTAGTATAACAAACAACAAATGATACTCTTTGCATAAGTGGTCGCACCGGTGCCCCACTGACCTATTGGATAACGCTTTGGTGTTTGACGTGATGAGTATCGGGTTCTGGTCTTGGTGGGGACAATATAACTCACTGACAGGCAAGTAAGTTCAGATAACAAGTCCTAAACAGGACGAAATGCGCGTACTGGATTCCACTGTTGGCCACTACCCACCATTAATCTTTATTTCAAACACAGGCAGTATTGAGGCATCCACGCATGAGCCCAAAAGCTAACAAAGACCGATTAATTTGGTTCAACCAACGACGGCGTAATACAAGTGACATCATAATGGATAGGCTCCTTTGATGTTACATGTTTGTTGGCTAACGTCTCTCTAATAGAAACCGTGGATGACATTTACAAACAAACAATGAGTAGAAAGGAAATTTGATATTGACATTCCCAACACTAATTTCAAGGAACGATTACGAAAACCTACAGTGAATGTTGGGTTCATCTTCGACAATAATTGCCACAGAAATGATGATGAAGAAGCTCTGGTATCTCAACGTCACAATATATTTACAGATACAACTAACAAAAGATCGAATTTCCAGTTGCCAGTTGTACCATCGATATATGGATGATACTCTTTTAGTCTTTGACAAGTGCCTATATATATTCATTCTATTATGAAGCTCTTCAACGGTCCTCATCCAACAGTTCATATCACATATGAAAATGAAATCAATGATCTGATACATTTCGTGAATGTGTTGATGAAGAAAGAAGGAGATGGTTGCATGCTGAGAAGCATACAGACGTGATATAATCAGGTACCTAGTATTCAGAGTAAGATTGATTTGTTCCATAGGCAGTTGTGATCCTCGTGATATGAAAGCATTTACCAGCTTGGTTTGGAAGGGAGGAAGTTGAAAGTGGTGCATAGTTCCATCCTAACACACTCAGTAGATACAGGGAATCTATTATGAATGCTAGTCAAGCTTTCAGTGTCATACATCGTTTATTAACATCAATACCATGTGTAGCTGGGCAACACCTACTCAATATAGTTAAGTCTGTCGGAATGAGACTGTGCATTTAACGGGAACACGTTAGGCCGTCAACAAACCAAACACCAGTTCTTTCTTCTTCAATCCATTATGTGGAAATCGAATAGCTCCCAACTTGGCCTGGTTCCACTCTATCCTATTGCATTTTATAGTTGTAGGACCTGATGAGAATTGATTTGAAAGAATATTCCCCATTCAGATTTGTGCTGTTTATAAAAGTAGATGAGGCTGAATCAATATTTTGCAACAATTAGAAACATTTTATAGAGTAGATGTGTATGGGTTGCTAAGACTGTTAGTTACATGAAACGAAGAGGAGCTGAAACAAGCTCTGATATGTTATTACCAAGATAATTAAGAACAGTGGCTGAGGATAACTGGTTCAATTGACTGAATTGTTATGTTGCTTGTAACTCGCAAATGTAGCTCACTCCGACTAGTCTCAATCGATGCTCGTCGCAATCTTGAAGAAGGCAACGAAATCCTCATATCATCATGATAGGAGAATCAGTCAAACGAACACAGTATCTAAGATTCTAGTTTCTGTAATCATTCGACGACTGAGTGAATCTGTGGAAGGTGAGACCCAAGAGAACTGGGCAAGTTTTAGAACCTATTTGTGAGTGGATGGATCTGGTCTCTACTTTGCATCAGGTCTTGAAGCAGAAGAATATTTACCGGTGCTTAACACCACTTGGATTTCTTAACTTGAATGCAGTCAGCTCTGTTGTATTGTCGATGAGATAAGTAAGTGAATATTGAGAGACAAGTATGCTGGACAGTGGTTCTCTCTGTTCTATTATGTGGCTGTGAGAAATGATCATCACGGGTGAAGAAGATAGGGGTGATTCAGGTGTTCGACAAGTGTTACCTTCGTAGTGCATGCCGTTTGTCACACAAGAACCACGTTAGTAATACAGATGTCAAGCGTAGTGTTTTCGATGGGAGTGGGAAGTGAGTTGATAACAGTGTATACTTGAGGGTGACTATGTGATGTGTCACGTATATCCGATCACCATCTATGCTTTCACACAAAGCTGACTGAAGTCGGTTTGGGGTCATGAAAGCTCAGAAATCACCAGATTAAAACTAGACATCAGTCCATGAAGTTCATGGATTAGAATTTCCTATCAATGCAGAATTTAGTAAAATAGCCTGGTCAATAATTTTAGTATATAGATAAGCTTTTCCGTAAGCTGATGACTCCTGAACATTGATCAATGGGTTATATTACATAAATGTTAGCTACCTGACAGATCAGGATATGATCTAAGATGTAAGGAACATAAAATCAATGAAGTTACCACTAACTCTCGGTTTAAGTTGAGTCCCACGTTACGGACTCCTGGATAGAGTTTCGAGGAAATAATTATTATTAGTCAGATGAAATCATTCTAGAAAGTTAATCATCCTTAGGTCATTCATTTAGTTCACATCTGGAGTTCGATGAAGGAAACTTTATCGAATGAAAGAATTTTTGAGTATGCTAAAGTCATGCAACTTGGCTTCAGGTCCGAAGATAAAACATTCGTTTCTTTCATCTCAAAAGTTAAAGTGGTTTCGATGTTAGTTGGTAGGAAGCAACCGACAGGAAGCCAAGCTTAATCTAGGTTTTGTGGTTTCTGGCCTTCATCAGCAAGGTGTATCTGGAACCTTGAGGAAATTTATGTCCCTTCAGACCTACGTCACCCAGTGTGCCATGAAATACAGATCCAAAGTTTCCAGCCGATTGCCTCCAACCCACCGTCTTAGTACTTGGTTGTCAGATTGAAAAATGATCGACTGAATTCAGTCACTACTGAGGACTAGACAACATGAAATTGGTTGTTTTTCAGTGATCAATCAATACAGTTTATGTCAGGTTTTAAAGTGACTCCCATCTTGAGTTTCGTTCTCAACGTTCTTCTTCAGTACCATTGTCATTTACAATCTATTCAAGATGTTTTCTGTTGGTGTGGTTAGTATCATTATTATTACTTGTCCCTTGGGTTCCTAGTGGAACGTACGGCTTCAGTAGCACATCTCCATTCCACTCTCTTCTCTGCAATCTTTTGAACCTGACTCCACCACTGCCCAGAAGCTCTCATTTCTTCCTCACACGATCTCCGCCATGTCAACCTCGCCTTGGACACTTAACTCACTGTTTCCCATTTGGCTTCCATTCAACGGCATGACCTGAGGCGTGATGTCCCCGAATGGTCTTCTCAGTGCATGCACAATCCATCTCCACTTCCTTCCACTGCATATTTGTTGAACGATAGCTTCTTGGTTGGTTCGTTCCCAGAGCTCCTTGTTGCTTATTATTTCTGACCATCTGAGCTTCAGTAACGAGCCAGCGTAGGCAGTTGTTGATGAATGTCTGTAGTTTGTTGGAAATGCTCTTCGTAACGCGCCAAGTCTCCCAACCATCATATAGAAGCGCTGACTTACTTGACTGAATTGGTGTTGAAAATCCGAATGTTGTTCGCGGTTTATGCTGAGTGGAGTGCATTGGAGGAGATCTCTAGACTGGTTTCAGGTTAATGAAGGCCTTTCTCGCTGTCTTTCCAATCCTGGCTGCTTTGATGTCGTCGTCTGTGCCGCCTGTAGTTGAAACAGTGCTGCCTAGATAGGTGAAAGAGGCTTCTTCATTCAAGTCTCACCCGTTAATGGTGATTGGCGCTTCTTGTTGTTGGTTGGGTATCTTCGTCACCTCTGTCTTCTCTGCGTTCACTTGAAGTCCCGTCTTCGCTGCCCTGCCTCTTCTGTCAACTTGATGGATTTCGCCTGTAGATCTTCAAGTTTGTATGACATTGGACACAAGTCATCATGGGCGAAATGTAAATTTTCTAGGATCTTTTCATCGATCCAGTTGAATGTCATTCTATACTCTGTTCTATGATTATGCGTAGCGTTGCAATTTGCTCCGCACATGGTTTGTACGTTGGTGAGGTTAACTATATATATATATATATATATATATATATATATATATATATATATATATATATATATATATATATATATATATACTACTACTACTACTACTACTACTACTACTACTACTATTACCAAAAAATAATCCAGACTTACTAGTAATTCGTGCATCATTATTTTCATCTGTTTGATCTGCATTCAGTGTAGTTACGTAAGAGCATAAAGTTTCAGCATCAATTTCAGCTTTAGTAACCAACATACCCTTACGTTCATCAACACTGAACAAACTAGACGGTGAACCAAGTTTATAGTTCAATGGAATTATTTGTGAAAATTCATTTGATGATGATTGTTTCATTCTTGATGTTGATGATGATATTAAATCAGATGAAGTTATAGAATTTGATGATAGTAGAATTGAGCTAATCGTCCCGATTTCTGTACCAATTGGACAATTCTCATCAATACTAAACTCTGAGGTGAATTCTTGAAGTCTTGGTATTCTTCCGATTATACTTGATGATATTACAGAGATGTATGCAAAAATTTGGAGTAAAAAATACTTTTTCTGGCAGTAAATAACAACATTTTCATAACATTTGATCACCTTCATGTCCTGATGGAATCAACAGAAGTTTTTTTCACTGAAGAGTACTGAAGATGTTTAATTGATAAGTTATTTCGATGAAGAGAAAAAAGAAAATATTACAAAGATATTATTTTATTGAAGGTAATATAGTTTTTAAATTTTTGTTTTCCACATACACATAAGGGTAATGAATTGAACCCCACTGTTTACTAAGATAATCTTACCCTACTGACAGAAAATTATTGTCTAGCCCCCTCCCCCCCAATCAGGTGACGTGTTTATGAAAAACCAAGTTTGCGTCTAAACTGACCAATCAGAATGCAAGAAATTATTGGTAGATGGGTTAAGCAAACTTTTCTGAATTGTGGTGTTTAGTAGTGAACATTGTTTAGTTTTAATAGGCTGATTTATATGCCAGATTATTACTCTCCCCCATCTCTCTCTTTCTCTGCTTTCCACTCTATGTTTTGAATGAAAGGTCGCTGTTTTATGAAGAAATCAAGACTGCTATAAGGCATACTTTGATTAGACAAAGTGAATATGTGTACAAACTCTGTTGTTTTGGACAGATAAACACAATATCTCAAATTACATGAAGAGTGACAGTGAAACACTGTTTTGGTAAGTCTATGCTTTAATTTACTGAATGCAATCTAACAAATAATCACCGGTGTATAAGGCACTTTGTCCACGAAATGATAAAACCTAGTAGACTGAGAAAAGTAGGAAAATATGGACCATTGGACTGAATTGACCTAGTGACTGCTTGGTCTAACTATCTTGGCCACTTGTAGATGCTTACAGTTGAAGAGTCCCAACTTGGGACGAAACAGATGGCCAGCACCCTTAGATTTTCACTAGTGGTCCATGATGAATACTATCTGTTGAACATCCATCGCCCTTGTAACGATGCTTTTAAACAAGATAAACATCTGGGGATGGGGGAGTTACTCCTTTATGAATCCTCAGGGTGAGTACTTCACCTAATTATACCCTTACACAAAGGCTACTAAGGTCTGTTCCTATACTGGGTCGGATTGACGGATTGACTTACGTTGACAAATGATCTACTACTAATTTATACAATTTTCGATGTAATTTCTGCGACAGAATTCGCACCACTAACCAGTCCGGTGTCCTACCAAATGAGCTACCAGGCCCGACATCTGATCAGATTTTCATTTCACTCCAATCACTAAGGGTTTGGTTTTGACCAACTACCATGTGAATTCGTGATGCGTTACTATCACCTAATTGTACTCACTGCCTGCCTAGTCAGGACTTCTCATTCCAGTCCAAATCTACTTGAATTAGAAAAGTAGAACATCGTAATGTATATTAGTTCGACTGTTTGACAAACTTTTAATGATACTGGGTCAAGACTGAACCATCGGAAACCAAGTGGTCGCTGTTCCGGATACTCCACTGACCCATATTTTAATTCTACCTTCAACCACGAGTCATTAGTTGCAGAATGTATCATTTTGCCATTTAACTTTTTTTTACTGGTTTCTGAAATGTAATAAATATGTTACATTTTATTATTCCTGTTGAACACGAATGGTTGTCATCATTTCAGGCGTCAACTTCCCATAAGCTCTTACATGACTATTCAAGTATGAGTGAAGTGCCTTGATCAGCTACACCCTTCAAAGTCAAGCTCTGTCGTAAGACCTCTTTACCAGCAGAGCTGAATGTCATCTTCAGGTCAAGAAATATGGAAGTGGCATACGACTTTGTGGTTGTGGCAGTATATGAGATATGAAGGTTAACTACTGTTGGGATTCAGTTGTAGAGATTATCGAATAATTATAATAACATTATTCAGTAATGTATTATCCTCTATCATTTATGCCAAATAACCTTAGATGATGAAATATTTGTCAGAGAAACTGGGATCATTGTTTCCCATACTTCCTATACTGATTAAGACAGTAAAAAACGGAAACTAATAATGTCCTTCTGAGACATTTTCTAGAAGAACAGGGTTTGAAACCATGAACTAGATAGTTTCATGGGTGCAGCAAGAGCCGTCTACTGATGAGTTTCAACATGCATGAAACCATGTCATAGGGTTTACTGAACCTAATAGGTGATATAGCGTGTAGGGTATACACCTAGTAATATTTCCTCTTCTACAAGTTACAGTGCTGAAATAAATCTCAGGTTACTGATATCATACATAAAATATTCATACAAATTACTCAACAGCATTTTTCCCCCCTCATTCATCAGTTTCAAGGCTTGTGATACAGCTGTCCAGTGCTCACAGGTTTCCAATGTTTCGTCAGCTGATGTCAGTCTATGATAAATACCAACCTGAAATCAATAAAGCCCTCACAAGACTTCAAATTTAACTTATCTATTGCTCTTTGGTGACGAGATTCGGGAGGTGATACTCGAAGTTCCAATGAGATGTCGTGACCGGTGCGGCCAATCAAGTAGAACATGAGGAGAGATATTGGACGACAGGACTGGATGGAGGTTGCGCTGTATCGTGAACTAATAGAGGTAGGAAATATGGGTCACTGGCTTCCGATCCAGGGCTCAATGGTAGTATACTGGTTACGAAACCTGAAGGTCATGGGTGCACACTGCTGAGGAGTCCCATACTAGGATGAAAGTACTCCCAGGTTTTCAATGTTCCTCCAACTGAATAGTAACTTGGCATACATTATTTCCGATGGTGTAACAAGAAAGTAGCGCACACTGTGCATAACAATAAACCTATTTTACAATATACCCCATAAACATGAATATTATCAAAGCGAAAAACATGGAGATTGTATTACACATCCAATTGGCATTGTATTATCAGTCGATCAATATTAACAGAAGACACGACTCTACTGAATAACGGTCCCAGCTGCTACACATCGATGGAAAGAAGTAAATAAGAGGAAGAGAAATGAATGAATGCTGGAATCAATATATAGCGATTAGGACTAAGATAATGTACACAGGATACATGTGCACTAGTAATATCAATTTTGAGCCATATCAACAACAGTCTCTAACTACTGGTTTCTGTTGTCATGTGGATTTCAACTCAAATCAACAGTTAAAGATTTCACGGGCTGGTGCTGTCAACCTTTATCCAACCTGAGCAAACTTCAGTTAGCAGTGTGCGACGTAGAAGACGGTGATACATGTACCAGTCACCTGAGTCAATTAAAGCATACAACTTTATCAACTCATTTTCTTCTCATAGCTAGAACTCTACATCAGACTCCATTACAGATGTGGTGACCACGACACGTGGCCTATCCTACGAAAGCAACGATGGTCGAACACCTGAAGCTGCTTCATGTCTTCCACCTTTAGTGGCTATGTCTCGTAGTCCTGTAATAGAGCAGAGCGAACACTCGAACTTTACTAGACAATTTGATATCACAATGGCGCTGCAAATGAATTAATTTGGCAAAAGGTATTTCAAAAGTTTTATATTGGTGCGAAGATTTTACTGGCAAGTGAGCCACCTGGGATGATTCAACTTTCCAGATAAGGGAAGTGGTCGATACACATGGTCGCTCCACTCTCTACTCTTAGACACAGCAACACTCAAGACCAGTCCTGAAACAACAGTTCACATTTGGGTGACGAGAAACCCATCCTCATCATTCTCAAATCAGTACCCAAAGTGTTCAGAAGACTATGTATCTTGTCAGCGTCCTCACCCAACACGACAACATCTCATGTGAACATAATCATGATGATGACGATTATTATTATCATTATACTAATCATAATAATACGATTGTTGTGAACATTGTGCCTTTCATATCGATTACATTATTGATGTGATTTATAGTTATTCCACAGAGGCGATATTTTAACACCACGCATTGTTGTCTTATGATTTACTCCATTGGGCGTGCTGAAAGGCTATGTAACAGTGGTAAGTCAAACTCTTGCAGATGTAGCCCATCGGCTTAACATTTCGGTGAAGTATATTACTTGCTTAAATTATTGATTCAGCAATAAGTAACTATCATGTATTATTATTATTATTATTAGTCCCTTGGGTTCCTAGTGGAACATAGGGCTTCAGTAGCACGTCCCCAGTGACCTCTGTTCTCCGAGATCTTCTGAACCTGTCTCCACGACAGCCCACAACCTCTCATTTCCTCCTCGCACGACCTCCTCCATGTCACCCTCACCTCGGACACCCAACTCGTCGCTTCCCATGGGGATTCCACTCGAGCAACTGGCCTGACGCCTGATGTCCTCAGTCGGCCTTCTCAGTGCATGGCCAATCCATCTCCACTTCCTCCTGCATATTTGTTGCGTGATAGCTTCTTGGTTGGTTCGTTCCCAGAGTTCCTTGTTGCTTATTCTTTCTGGCCATCTCATCTTCAGTAGCGAGCCAGCATAAGCAGTTGTTGATGAATGTCTGTAGTTTATTGGAAATGCCTTTCGTGACGCGCCAAGTCTCTGAACCATACAAGAACACTGACTTGACTGAATTGGTGTTGAAAATCCGCATCTTGTTCCACATGCTGAGTGCAGAAGATCTCCACACTGGTTTCAGGCTAATGGACGCCTGTCTTGCTTTTCCGATTCTGACTTTGACGTCTTCGTCCGTCCCGCCTGTAGTTGAAACAGTGCTTCCTAGATAGGTGAAGGAGGTTACTTCCTTCAAGTTTCTCCCGTTGATAGTGATTGGAGTTTGTTGTTGTTGTTGAAGGTGGTAGTGCGGTATCTTCATCACCTCTGTCTTCTCTATATTCTCCTGAAGTCCTGTCTTCGCTGCCTTTTCTATCAAATTGTTAGTTTTTCCCTGTAGATCTTCAAGTTTGTGTGACATCAGGCACAAGTCATCGGCGAAATCCACATCTTCTAAATTCTTTTCCATGGTCCAGCTAGCGCATCCCCCTCTTCTCGCTCCCCACTGTTTGCTGCATGATCCAGTCTAGTTGACCACAATCAGGAATATCATGGGGGATAGTAGGCAACCTTGTTTCACTCCTGTCTTCACTTCAAAGGCATCACTGAGCTTCCCATAGTCAATTACTTGGCATGTGGCATCTTCATATAATTGTTGAATGAGGCTGATAAGGGTTTG